TCTCACACCTCAGCGGTTGCCATGGCGAAAATCCACGAATTACGGTTTGAACTGCTTGACCATCCACCTTACTCACCAGATCTAGCCCCAAGCGACTTCTTTTTGTTCCCTCATCTAAAAATTGCGCTCGGAGGACAGAGATTTTCGTCAAATGAAGAGGCAATCACCTTCGTGAACAATTATTTTGCAGAGAAAAACGCCGAGTACTATTTCGACGGGTTACAGAGATGGGAGCATCGCTGGGAGAAGTGTGTAGATTTACAAGGAGACTATGTTGAAAAATAAAAAACATTTTTCAGAAAAAATGACTTGTATCTTTGTTAGGTCGGAAACTTTTCAGACCACCCTCGTATACTGTACTCTTGTATGCCTGAAGGGATTTTATCGCAAAGTTTAATGTATCTATCTATCTATCTTTCGATTCTTGGCGATTGTTAACGGTACATCTAATATCGTCGATCCAATTACTGTGGCTCGTAACGCGACGCAACGTGGACCTTGAACCTATCGAACCACAGCGACGATAAGCTGTAGTTGCACTTCGATGACCCTCGATGCAATCTTGCGGAAGGGCGATCTCGCTGGAGAGGAAAGAAAACGACTTCACCTTCTTTCGGCGAAGGCACGGCGCGCATCTCTCGAATCTCGGGGTTTTTTCGCCAAACTCTTCGAACTAATTGATTAAAAAAGAAATAAATAAATACTCTAGCACATACAAGAGTAAATAACAGCATAAGTGTATTTACTGAAAATTAATATAGATATAATAAGAAGCACTCAACTCTTCAAATGTCTACATGTGTGAAGACGATCTTTGAATTGCTTTAAACGTTGCGAAAAATTCTTCTCAGACATAGTAAATATTCGTACAGTTCTTAGAAGTATCCGATCGATAAATATAATAAACCAATGAGAGTTAAGTCGTAGATATTGACGAGTGATTGATTAAATCATTCAGGGAAATAATTTTTCCCAGTCTTTCTTAGACAATTTTTATTTTTCTCAGATAACTCGCGGTCTTGCACGACCCGTCATAATTCCGTCCTGACGAGCGGTCACGCACGTGAGCGTAAAAAGTGAAATCATAACGGCAAGGTGGTTAGTTACAGGGTGGTGGCGGTGGTCGCAGGAAACAGCGAAGCGGTTACTTTGAGCGGCCTCCGGGCTGATACGCAATATCAGCTGGTAGTAACCGCCGTGAGGGCCGGAAAGAAGTTTCGAAGTCGACCGATCGTCTTCCGTACACTCGGTAAGCTTTGCCTTCCTAAGCTTTACCTGTCTCCGGCGTCACGGTCACAGGCGAGAGGTGCGTTCTGACAATGGGAGAAATAGTTTCTCTAAGATAGAGTCTCTGTGTAGCAATCGTTAGTTTAATCGTCACGATGCTTAATCCGTAGTGTTATTACTAGTCGTGGTCCGCATTTATCAGTCATCGTCGAAATCGTAGCTGCGAGCGGTACCGTGTACGGAGGAAGAAGTTTGGCTGGATCAATCAAATGTCTGGTGAAAGATGAACGAATTCCGATTGAATTTATCAGAATTCTGCGTTCAAGTTAACGTGATTAACCAAGAGAGATTTAACTTGAACAGAATTCTGGTAACTTCGTCTGCTGATTCGTTCATATTTCTCACCAGACATCTGGTTAGTCCGGCCAAATCTTTTCTTCCGTGCAATATCCTCGTTCGCGTGGTTTTCTCCGCGTAATTTATTTATACACCGCTTGGTTCGTGTGTGTGACACGAGAAATTTTTAAAATTCAATTAAAATTTTCATTTAATTTTTCATTTGATTTGATTGTCTTGATTTTTATGCTTTGCTTTGATTTTTATGACAAACAAAACATTTTAGTTTGTTTCGGTACGGCTTGCAGCTACACATAGAGAAATATGTGACGAATATTGTTTGTCTATTTTTCTAGTACTATGTATATGTCTAGTAGAAGCACCCGCGATAAAATCTCGGTTAATTCACTCCGGGTCTTGCGATCTCATTTCCGAGATAGCGGTATACGCAGTATACATAATAATGAATATAAGAAATATAATAATACAATAAATACGAAAATAATAAAAGGTCAATAATTATAAATTATTCGTTTATTTACTTCTCTCGTACACACTGTGATTTCGCTTAAGATAGATTTATTTCGCAAAATATCGTTGAGGATATGTCGCGATTGAAAAGTTCGCTTCGCTGAAGGAGACTCAGCTCGTTTACTTTCGAGGGATGAGGGAGAAATGTCTTGAGAACTCGTATCGTCCGTTTGCGATCACATGTTTATGCATGCATGATAATTAATATGTGCACGATGAGTTTGTCGACGTTATTCCGCGCGGGGCGAAATGAACTATCGTACGCGACGTGAAATTTCGTAACGATATACGCGCGCAATTTCGCGGAAATGACATCGTGTAAACGAGATTCTATGGGTTTCAGAGCCACCACGCACGTCCCCGCAGCAAGATGCAGCGGTAACCGGTGGTCCTCTTCCTCCACCTCCACCGTCCTCGCAACAACCTCAACAACCGTATATACAAGTAAGCCACTTTTTTTCTGAGCGATTTTCGGACGGCGTCTCGCGTTGAAAACGCCTCGGCCTCCGCCAAGGTGCTGCGATATCGGGTGAACGCGCAGTCCGCTTACGATTAACGTTCGTGACGACGATCGAGCGGCCGGAGGAGTCTCAACGAATCCTGGCAGGTTCACGTCTCGCCACCGCAACGATACACACTGCAACTCCGGCAAGATCATCGCGAAACTCCTCTCTTGTTTGAGATTTTTCAGAGCTTGGTGTTATTTCGTCTCGGGCAAATCCGCCTTTCAACGATCCAACTTCGGGGATATTCTTCCGCTTGCGATCTCCGACCCTTCCTCTCTTCAAGTGTTCTCATTGTACATAATAGTCTGTGACTCGAGCCCTTCCGGGAGAATCGAGCCTTTCCAGGGAAGTGCTTTTTTATGAAGAGAAACGAGAAGATCCCGCTTCTCGGGTCGTTTTATTCATGCTGCACGGGTATTGATCGAAAGCTCCTTGATCTTTATTTATCTCCCGCGATGACGACTTAAATGGACGATTCTCCCCCACGTGAATTTTCCCTGGACGTAATCCAGAAGAATTACACGCATTCATCTTGATACGTTTTACGCACACATTTTTCGGGGGGTTCCCCGCACGAGTTCCTTCCGCAAAAATCAACGGTGCGAATCGCGTCACCTCCACGAAGAAAGACAGACTGACGATTTATTGTGCCGCGTGGGATTACTCTGCGGGCAGAATAAAAGGGGCGGGAGATGGAGAAGAGGGAAGGACGGCGTGGAGGACGGAATATAGTCGTGAAACTTTTCCGGATCCAATCGAGAGACACTGGGAGACCGCAGTAGTTCATCTGCGCGCTCCACGTGCCCCGAGATTATATTTCTTTTCTAACTTTCTGTCGCGTACGAGTATATACATTCACTCCAAATGGCCGACACCACGGGGAGGATAATAAATAATGTCGATCTTACGCTCGCTTTTGACGACATTTTCCGCGAAACTTCGCGGCGCTGACGTGACATGCCCTAATTAATTCTCGCGTGATAAGACACAATTACGCGGTATCTTATAATTATACGTGGAAAAAAAAGTTTGTTTGGATTACGCCAAGTATCTGGTGAAATATATGACCGCCGGTTGAATTTACTTTACGTTAACGAGATTTCTGGTTGACCAGAACTTGCAACTGTTCAAGTTAATCAGAAATATTAGGTGTTTTTTTTTTTTTTAGCAGAACTATCTTAACTGGTGCAATAAGTTAGAGGAAAACAAAATATATTTGTCTTGCGTAATTTATTGCACCAGTTCAGACAGTTCAGCTGAAGAGAATAGATTTGTTGCTAACTTGAACGAAAATCTGCTAACTTCAACCGGAATTTCTGGTTCGCTCATATTTCACTAGACGTTTGGTTGATCCAACCTTTTCCCTCCGTGCGGTATTCGTGCAGAATCTCGCAGGAAATCTCGTGAAAGAACGAGAGGCCACTATTGACGCAAAGAGCTCGAAGGCAACATTCTTCATGCACCGGATTGTTACCGCGAAACGACATGCGGAAGATATACAATAGCTGCACGTCGGTAAGAGTGTCGCGGATGAATTGTTGGCTCGTTTCCGAGCGAGCTCGGCGATTTAAGCTTCCGTTGGGACGAATAGGGAGAGAGGAGACATAGCCCGAGGAGCACGTTCTCATTCCTTCCTCAGGTGCGGTGTGTTCCTCGTCTTGGACGTCTGTGATATACTCGAGATTGTCGTCTAAGCGGGAATATAGCCGTCAGTCACCGAGCATCATCTCCCCTTATCGTCACTTTTCGTGCCAGACGATCCTATCGCGAAATTGTCTCGCTCAAATCTCTCATACCACGAGAGCCATTCACGGCACAGCCGACAGTCCGCAGGCATGAATCTCACTCTCGTCAGGTTTTACCTTCTGAACATGTGTGCTCGGTAAGCTGTTTCCATACTCGTTATCTGCACAGGCAGATCTCTCGTTCACGGAGCCTTCTCATCGACGTTCGTGTCTCGTGTCTCGGGATGGGAGTCTACGGGTCTCCTTTAATACGCGACGCTCGTCTGAGAAAAAATGCAGACGAGGACCGCAAGTCACACCCGCAAATTAATCCAAGCTCCGCAACTTGCTTCGCTTTTCAGATCCGCGGCGTCGAGGTGGGCATAGTAGTGTTAGTGCTGATAGTCTGGGCGGGCGCGATCGCGCTTTTCTTCAATCGCTGGGGCAAGATCCGCATGTTGCTGCCTTATCAGCCCGACTACAAGGAGCAACTCAAGGTCCCCGGCACCGGCGTGTGCGCGGCCGCGAACGCCGCGTACACGCAACACCCGACGCAGCACGCGTGCTCTCAGGTAACGCATAGGTATACTGCACCCGCGAATGTGCGAGCCCTACGAGCTCGCTACGAGTCACGTGTCGGCACGCGTGACTCTCGACGAAACGCGTAGCCAGGCAAGCGGCACGCTCTCCGAATTTCTTGGGGTGAAATCTCACTAGAAACGAGAGAAAATTCGCTCTGAGCGTTTGCGGAAGTGATCGCCTTCTGAAATCGCAAAGTGCGATGTGATACTTTAGACTGATATACTCTGTGAGCTTCGATATAATCTTGCAACTTGAACTCACAGATGTAATGTGATATTTTGTAGACTTAATTAGCAATAAAATGTTACTGTTTGAAATCGCAATGTATGATGTTCAATTCGAGCTTGGAATGGATTCTTGAGTCCATTTAAGTGGCTGTTTCAGTCGATTAGAGTGGATTTGTTTCGATAAAAGTGAAGTGTGTCAGATTCGTTCTTTAATATCTCATTCACCCGACTAATCCGGATTCTAGGGTGGAAAATTCACTCTGTATGAGTGAAAGTTCACTCGAATTTCAACAACTTGGGTGCCACTCTGCTTCTCGAGTGGAATTTTATTTCAAGAAATTTTGAGAACGCGTACAGTGCCGGCAGAGATCGGCGAGACTTCGTCGAACAACGAATTAAGAGGGTCTTGCTGGTCGCCGAGAGAAGCGATCTTAGAAAGTGTGCCGGCGCCTCCCGCATAAGACTCCTTTCCCGATATGTTTTGAATAATTTAAAAGATACGTCGTTAAGAGGAGCTTAAGCTCTCGGCTTAAACGCGAGCTCTATTTTGATTGCGTAAAGAACGATCTCGCGACTTAAAACCGCTTCCCTCTATCAGCGACTCGAGAGCCTCTGAATTCCTCGTCGATTTCGCGTAGATATAGGAAAGATTTGTTGAAATCAAATTTTACTAATTATCTCATAAAGTTCACAAATTGGCGGCAGTAATCTCGATTAATTTTCTCAGCTTTTGCCTTCGAAGATCTGTCAAAGTGTGCATCGTCGCGCTGAGCTCTCGAACGAGTTCACAGCGCTACGCAAAATGCCGGTTCGTTCGGATCGTCGCAGATCCGAGGTAACAATTTCATCAGATGAACGAATTAACGCCCATTACGGATTTTCCGATATCGTCAGATAGTCGACTGAGAAAAGGAAATCGAGATTAATCTCCCCTTCCGGGCCGGAGGTGCTCGGATTCTCTGTATCTATCACACAAAAAAACAAAGTTTGGTTGGATTAACCAGTTTCTCTGCTAAAATGTGAACGGAATATTCCGTTTGATGTTACGAGAATTCCGCTCGAGTTAACCAGGAATCTCATCTTCTGGAATCTTCAATCGGAATCTCTGGTTCGTTCATGTCTTGCCAGAAAAAGTGCGGCCAAATTTCGTCCCTTTCCCATGAGGTTCTATAAAACTTTGAATATTCCAATAAATAGTATAAATCAATTTGAAGCTTAGGACGAGTTAATTGAGAATATAAAATCCTAATATTATTCTAGTCGTTTAGGAGATGAATGGTCTAAAAGATTGCAATCTCAGCAAACAGTTATGTTACCGAGATTGTAATCTTTCGGACCGTCCATTTCCCAAACTCTTTTTCTACAAGAATAATACCGAAAATTTATGTTCTTAATCTACTCGACATAAGTTTCAAGTCAGTTTAATTGGAATATTCAAAGTTTTTGAAAAAGGAACGAGATGTCTTCGTGGGGCCGCTTAGCTACACTCTTTGCTTAACCCGACCAAACTCTCTTTTTCGTGCAGCGTTTGAAGAAAAATCGCTTGGTACAATTTATTCTCTTCGATAATCCGAAGAATCATGAAGGTATTTGGAAACCGGGTCGGTGTTTTCGCGTTGAAATATCGCAGGCTCGAATTCGCGAGGAACGCGGAGTCCACGGAAGGTCGCCCGAGGTCATATTTACACGAGACGCGCTTACGAGTGTAACGGCGGCGGCGGCGACGGCAGTGGCGCTGGATATAAGCCCGGGCGATTTACAAACGGGATCGAATCGAATCGACGGCATATCGAATGTCTGGTATTCGTTCTTGCGGAATTTCGAACCGCACTTCCGCGAGCGCGATATTACTGCTCGATTATGCACGCGCGGGTTTACGGAGGCGCGGTACAATCTCCATCACGTATGCATCGGCGGATCCGTTTCCTTGCTCGAGTATGTTATGCGGATGTGAACGACGTTAGCCCCGATTGTCGGCGTGCAAAATTCCAGCAATATTGGTCCACAAACGGATATGTACACTGAAGAAAGGATCTTGCTGTCGAAACGAAAATTTGGCACACTGAATCGATAATTTGGTTAAAATGGGATCAAAATATTTGGTAATTGTAACCAAAACATTTTTAATTGTGTTGTACGTTCTGCTTTCTCAGTAATACATGTACTTGACACGAATAAAAACATGGCAGTGCCAATCAAGTCATGCCAAATATTTTAGTTAAATACAACAATGATCTTTTCAATGTAGTCGCATTTGCAAATTGGCTCGTGCGCTTTTGAATGAAATCGCGACGCTTCAGGATGTCAGAATTAAGTTGACATATATACACAGTAGTCGGTTATAAACATAAAATAATTACTTTCCGAAATAATGTTCTGAAATAATTAGTAAAATAATAAAGTAAATTCTTTCTTCTAAATTTTACAAATATCACCTCTGTACTGTCACTTCAGCTTCTGTTATAATATTCCTGTAAATTATAGTTTCTGTTATATATACAGCGCACACACGTCAGCAGCGGTTTTCCATTCTGACAACTTGAAGCGACTTCACTCGACAAAAAGCGTGCAGGACGATTTGCAGTCGGCTAGGGTAAACCACGCAATTGTTGGAATCAATCTCCCTGAGTCATTCGCGCTCTGGAAAAACCTGATGTTGCAGTCAAGCTTCTTGACATGCATTCTATTACACATGAAATTTTTACGATCAAAACTGCGAATTGACGCCGCTGATTACAAGGAAAACCAAGTTTTCTTAGAGTGTGCCAATGACTAAAGGAGGATATTAAATTACTGTGTGTGAGGTTTACCCTGTACAGACGGGGATAGTAACGCGCGCGAACGCACGTAAGGGCGCGAACACGTAACGTAAAAGGGTTATTAACATGCCTCGCATTCCGCTGCGATCGCGAGAGCGTGATTCGTGATCGCATTGCGAGAACACATCCCTGAAACAAACACGCGCGCGCATTGGTCGCGGTTTGATGCGCGAACGATCGACTAAGCTCGCCTACCAAATTCCCTCACGGATTTCCGCACGAAATTGCAACGAGCGCTTACGCGCGAAAACCATGCAAACTTTGATTTTCGTAGAGACGCTGACGAGCCGCATGAGCGCTACGATGTAGCGACAAATCGTTACGAATCAGGATATACGATCGATATTTCGAGTGCTGGAATTTCCGACAATTACACGGTTCATGAGCCACGCGTATATGCTGCTGCTGCATACGTGAGCAATTTCGTCGAAAAAGGATCGGCTCGATTGTAGATTTTTTTATTTTATTTTTTTTATAGATTCTGTTCCGCAAAGTAGATTGAAATTCTCTTTTGCGGAACGACTGAACCACTCGCGAGTAATCGGAGCCGGAAACTACTCATTGGACGTTCGATGGGAAAAAACAATTTTGCGCGAGAATAAACGTGTGGGAATTAAAACGCGAAGCACTCGCCGATCAGATGAATTTGTCCATTCCGCATTTGATAACTTTTTCTGTAGTATAAATATACGCATATACAAATAGTACATATATGCAAAAATATTGCGTCGTAGACTGTTTCGGATCAATATTCCATGTTTAGGGGAGAAGGTGGGATTATGAACCACTTTTTTGTTCCAGACGAAAACTCCGATATTAAATGCAATAATTGCATGAATAACTGTTAAAAGCGTTAGAAAATATAGCTCTTATAATGTATCCATAAACATTAGAGGAAAAAAAAATTGTTCAAAAAGCACATATTTTTTTAATGTAGCGTAGAAGCGGGAAAATAGATTGATAATATATGAAACAGATATGAAAATAAAAAATTTGTTTATTACTATAAAGTTGTGAATGTTAAAATAACTTTTTTCTAGTGAATTTCTTTGAATATAAAAATCATAAATTAAAAATGAAAAAATTTTCTATGAAAATTACGAAAATTATATTTAATAATTAAAATTATATATAGAAATTTTTTAAAATTAAGAAAACCTCATTTTCATATCTACTGAAAACGTGATAATATGGAGCACTTTGTTCTATATTACTGCCCATCAATTTTTCAAATGACCCAATGAATCTCAAAGTAGGAGAAATATTTTCAAATAATTAATTCCGAATTTAAAGTTTAAGTCTTATTACTAATTGATTTTACTAATTAACTTATAATCTGTTAGATTTATCGATTAAGACAGAAAAAAAATTTTTTTAATTTTAGTTGGTATTATTACTCTGTTCCATATTTTCACTTTCTCCTTTAATCTTCTATCGCTTTTGAGACCGCTGCGAATGAAAATTTCATTCTCCGTGGGGACCTACTCGCGGAAAGAACGGTAAATAAATTACGAAACTCGGTTTCTTAGGTGGCACTGAATAGAGTTCTCTTTAACATGGTTTTAACTGTAAACGTTGTTATCGAGACGACCAATCAGCTGTGTTTTCATCGGGAAAAATCATCAACGTCGAGCGAAGCGCAGAAATCGCGAAATGAGATCGCATCGATCGTCTCATTGACGTTTGCGACAGCGAAAAGAAAGATGTGGGTTGCCGAAACTTTACCAGGTGTAGAAGTATGAAACCGGAATTCCCCTATAAATGGTGCCAGCGTTCAGTTTAGTGACCGTAAGACCGCTACTGCCGCGCTATTATATTCTCCTAACAGCTGACGAATATTGTCAACAAACATAACCCCAACTTTCATTCTCTAGTATATTTTTGTATAACCTTAAACATGTCACGTTTCGAGCCTACTAACTATGATTTGCGGACAGCATTGAT